CGACTGCATATGTCGTTGCGAGTTCAAGTAGAGGTAGGTCAGAAGCGATGACAGGATCATGGCATCCCTTGTGACATTACGGTCATGATCAAGGTGTCTTAGACTAGCTAGATCACGGAGCTTGCATGGCCAAAAGGTCCAACGTATAGTGACGCATCAAATCCAACGCTCAGATAACCCTATTTGTGAGCCAGTAGCAATAGTGTTGCAATTCGAGCTAGCTGAAAAGCGGCATACAGGCGTTTCACCTTCGTGATAAAAAAATATTTGGTGAATAATGATGGTCAAGAAAGTGGATGATTTAGAGATGAAATTACAGGAAGAGATAAGCTAACTTAAATCCGAGATAAAGGAAAGGTTCACAACTATTGACGAGAAGTTTTCATCAATTGAAAATCAATTCAAGTGTTTGGAGAAGATGATGAGTAGGCTTATCGAGATGCAATTCATGACTTCTCCGGCGGTTCAATTTGCAAATCCTAACCAAGGGTTGACTGGACAATCATTTGACTAAATCGAAAGAGAAAGTGATCAAACAAGATCCACCATCAAGAATCTCCTCGTAGGGCTCTGATGGGGGTTGGTTTAGAGATTTTTGAGGGAGACTGTTAGCTTGAAACATGGAGAAAGGGTTATGCAAGTGGTATAAAGGCATGAAGAAGAAAGGAGAGAAGCTAAGATAGAGTATGACTATGATCGAAGGAAGGAGTTTTACCTTTAATATATGGAAGAAACTGCGGAGGGAGAAGTTGGGGCGGAGATGCTAGGGTAGAAAAATGAAGATGCTGATCTTAGAGGTGGGAGACCCAAATGGAGCGATATCTTGCAGTAAATGGGGGCTAAATTAGGAGGTGATGCTCATGATCGTAGGGTTATATTTGGAGGGGAAAATCCTAACATGCTTTTAGTTTATGGAGATAGATATACGATCCGTTCGCGAGAAAAATTTAAGGATTGTTTGTTGGAATACTTCTGAGTCATTTGGGAAAGATACCTGTACTAGCAATTATTTGCGTTGGCTCAAGAATGCACAGTCATAGAGTATAGGGAGAGATTCAAGCTACTATCAGGACGATTGGGGAGATTTTTGAATTAGATATAGGGGAATTTCAGGAAGGGTTTAAAGCCTAACATACATGCAACACTCCGACCATTTAGACCGCGGGGATTGGTGGAGAAGATGAAGCTAGCCCAGATTGAAGACAGGAATCAGATGGAGAAGGCCTGTAGAACAACATCTGGGAGAGTTACATGAGTACATCGATGACCACGACACTGAAGATTCATATGACGTCATTTTAGAGGGAGATGCTGAAGGAGAAAAATATTGGGGCCCATCTAGGGGTCAACTTCAAGCACTTACAAAGATAGAGATTCATGAAAAACAATCAAAGGGCTATATTTTCAGTTTATGAAAATTTTTCTTTGGGATCCATTGCGAGGATTGGACATGATAGATTCTCAAAGTGTGTGATGAGGATGCAAGAGAACTTTATCCAACATTAATTTACTTTTTTCCACCTTGAGGGTAGTATTTTTAGGGGGGAGTATTGTTATGCCCGCCTAGCCTAAGGATAATTGTTATTTATTAACCTAAAGGCATTTTAGTCTTTGTTATTTATTATTTAGTATAAATAGGACTAATATGTTTAGGGTTAGGGATATGCATGAGATTGTGGTTGTGATTCTTAGGGTTAGGGTTTGGAAGAGACTTCCTACCTCTCGAATAGTAGGATTTGGGAGAGATCGCCTATCTCTCAAATTGTAGTTGCCTATTATTTCTGTATTGGTTTTGAGTTGTTTGGAGCTCTAGAAATAAGCTTATTATTGACCCTAATTTCTTTGTGAAACTTGCCAATAATCATATCAAATTTCTCTCTTCATTTTATTTTGTGCTCAAGCACATGACATGGTTCAAAAATAAAATAGCAGATGTACTAAGTTGTCATCACATATACTATCATGCATTTGAAGGTGGCTGGAATTGAAGTTTTGAAGGATAACTATGCCAATGATGAGGATTCTAGAAGATTTGGGTTCTTTGTTAGGATATTCTATATGAGCAGTTCTATAAATTAGATGGTTATTATTTATCCTAGAGTGGGTTGCGCATTTCTTGGAGTTTGCTCAAAGATCCTATTTTATTGGAGTGTTACAATAGATGAATGACCAGAGTTTTCACAAGGACATGACTCTTTTGTTAGTGAAGGAGAACTTTTATTGGCAAAAGTTGATATGAGATGAGGAGTGACATGCCAAACAATGCAGAGGATATCATTTAACTAATAGTCAATGATAGAAAACATGTTTATACACTCCCTTCTCATTCTAAAGTCACCTTAGCTTGATGTAAGCATAAATTTTGTGGTGGGCTTTTCTCGAACACGATGGATCAAGGATCTATTTATGGCCGTTGTAGACCACTTCTCCAAGATGTCACACTTTGTACCTCGTCATAAGATAATAGACACACTACACATTAAATATTTGTATTTGAAGAAGATAGTCCATTTTTGTGGTTTACCCAGGACCAGTTTTGATAGGGATGTGAAATTTCTCGGTCATCTTTCGAGAACTTTATGAGGTAAGTTAGGTACAATGCTCTAGTTCAGCTCAGCAACGCACCCACAAATAAATGGGTAGACAGAGGTGGTAAATCGTAGTTTGTAAAATCCTCTCATGTGTTTTGTGAAAAAGATATCAAACAATAGAATTTGTTGCTTTTTCAAGTTGAATTTGCCTAAAATTGGTCTGCTAATTAGTCCATTGATTACAGTTTCGTTGAGATTGTGTACGAGCAACATTCTCTTACGCTATTAGAGTTAGTGTCGATACTTCATACTGTTGAGTTTAGTATTGATGTAGTGTTTGGATTCATAGAAATTCATACTTCACATGAGAAAATGTGAAAGCAAATTCCAAGCAGAATATCAGGTATCTGAACCAAGTCAATAAATTCAGGAAGGTTATGTTCTTTAAGGAGGGTGATTTGGTGTTGATTTAACTAAAGAATAAGAGGTTTTTTGTTTTTTTTTTTCGAAACCCCAAGCTTAGAGCGGATGAATCATTCAAAATTGTGTTGTTGATTAATAACAATGTCTATAAAATTGATCTGTTGGGAGACTACAATATTTTTGTTACTATTAACGTTGTTGGTCTGTTATCATATACAAGGCCTCAGAAGTCTCTAGAGGAGAAGAAGAAAACACTCCTACTCGGAAAGAGTAAAACGAGTGTTATTATTCCTCACTTAAGAAGGAATTACTTAAGAAGGAATTAGGGTGGCAATTTCGTCCAAGTTGTCCCATTATGAGATTAAGGGCTGCCCGTCCCTTACTAATTTTGAATTGAATTAAGGTTATTTGATGGCTTAGTTTAAGTATTGTATTTAGAAGATATTTTGGGTACATTTTACTTTGGTTTAAGCATTTGGGCTTTTGTTCTCTTATTTTTCCGCCCTTAGTAGTATTGTATCATCTTTCATTTGCAAGTCGTATGCGTGTAACTTATTCTGAAATAGGTGGTGGATTTCCCTTGACAGCCATTACTCGCCGAGACCGTTGTTTTGAGCTTGGACGGCTGTCGAACTTCTCCTATCCCCTTAAAGCCCCATCTTCCTCACATTTTCTCTCTCTTGTAATTCCATAACCATCTCCTTACTAAATCCGATCCTTAAAACATCTTCCAGGACTACTAAAACTGTGTTTGTAGATATCAAGATAAACACAAAATGGAAAACCCTTGTGTCACCACATTCACAAAGCCTACATGCTAAGCAAATATTAAGATAAAAAATAATTGATGTCATGATTTTTCGACAAATTTTACACAAGCTATTGACTACCTAACGCACCCTCCACTTTTAACATCCGGGGTTTGGGACTCGGCAATGACATTGTTCAAGTTGGTATTAAGATGTTAACAGAAAATCCCACATGCAATTTTTGTTTCTTTTGTTCCTAAAAAAATGATAATGATCACTTCTTTGGCCAACTGCTGCCACATGACCGTTTCTCTTCTTTACAGAATCTTTATCACTCTAATTTGATTTTTGTTTACAAATGTCTCTTTGTTACTGAAACATAGCGAGGAATAAAAGATAATCAGGTGCTACAGTTATATATGCATGCAAATATCTGCTAAGGTTTTTAAACTGGTAGATCGTGATCGAATACTTGCATTGTCATATTTTTATCTGCACCATTCAAGGAACATGGACCAAAGTGCATGTAGTTGAGATATTGAAATCATTATGTGTATCTGAAGAGTTGATCACAGTTGCAACACTATGTATTCATAAATATCTATTTTTCTCTCTTTGTTTCACATAAAATAGAGTTATATCTATCTAGTCATTTTAAATTTTTAAGCTGTATGATGCTTTCCTTGGCACGGATGCTATATCTGCAACAGAAGGGTACTTGAGACCGGTTGATAATCAATGTAACGATGTGGTGCCATGAACTCTACTACTTCCATGGTCATGTTCTTTCTATCAGATGCACATAATTTTAGATTTTAATTGGTTGCCTGTATACCTAATTCAAAATTTTATAGTTCCAGGCTTCCATTTGCAACATCATAGAAGCTTAGTTTTGGCAATCAAATTAGGGGCTCTATAAATCTTCACTTGAATCCTTTTATATGAGTATTACTCGTTCTAAAAAATACTAAGAAATCCTATAAAATTGTTATTTGACTTGTACATATACCAGATTTTTTTTTTAGTGTTAGCTTTATTTATTTCTTCCCTTGAATTACTTTAAATTGATTGCATCGATTGATTGGGATGAATTAATGCTGCTAACTTTTTTGTTTTTTATTTATTGCTTTAAAACTTTGTTTCCTTGGTATACATTTTTTTAAAAGCCTTTTATTCTAAGCGTATCTTAGGTTGGGCAGAAGGAAGCTCTATCTTTGCTTTTTCTTGGCTCGTGATTCAATATACTGTTGGTTTGTAAGTGGACCTAGAAATCTAAGGTGGTGTGATTTCCTTCCAGGGCCTTATTCCAGGTGGAGCCCTTAAACCTGTGGATGTTGACCCAGAGACAAACTTTGAAGTTACTGAGCATTACTGGTTTCCAATGTTGGCTGGACTTTCTGATTTAACTTTGGACTCCAGATCAGAAGTTAGGAGTTGTGCACTCGAAGTGCTTTTTGATTTGCTAAATGAGCGAGGCCATAAATTCTCTTCTGCTTTTTGGGAGAGCATTTTTGACCGTGTCCTCTTTCCAATTTTTGATCATGTCCGATATGCTGGAAAGGATGGTTTCATTTCCTCCGGGGATGGATGGCTCCGTGAAACTAGCATCCATTCACTTCAGTTGTTGTGCAACCTCTTTAATACCTTCTACAAGGTACAAAATATCTTTCTTCAATATATTTTAGATGGAATGGGAACCATCACACACATGCATATTTGTTGTATTTTTCTATTTTTGCTATTGCATTGTGAATTCTTCATGAATTTGTAAAGTTTGTTACATTGAAATATATATTAGCATCTTGCTCCGTGCTTTGCGTGGGTATATTTATTTAATATTTGATCAATAAGATTTAATTTTGACAAAATAAATCAATTTTATTTGTTTGTTCATGCTGTCCTAAAAAAATATATCCCACATAACGGATGCAAGTCAAGTGCAATGATGCACACATTTATCATAAGAACTTATCAAATAGATGACATGAAATTACATGAAGATTTTAATGACTTTTAGATAGACCTTTTTGTGTGTTACAGGGGGCTGATAAAAGCACCCAAAAAAATGCTCCCAAGAACCTCCCAATGTTAGTGAACTAGCAGATGTTGGTTCCATTCCTTAATTGCGGAGAGATGGCACAGCTATTTTACGACTTGTAGCATTGTTGAATTCATTTCTCAAAAGCTGATATTGCTTAAAGTGGAAGGAAATATAATGTGTTTTTATGGACAAATTCAAAATGTTTTCGCAAAATCTCACTATGTAGTCTTGTTTGTTTGTCTTTAAGCCCAACTCTCATTGCAGATGGTGTTTGTAAAGATTGAAATATTTTACATGTATAATATTAGAATATACATGCATATATATTGTTTAATTATCTAAATTTATGTACTGGTAAAATTTACTATTTCTATATATTTACATGAATTTTGGTAAACTAGGTGTTATTTTTGGATATGTTTTGATGTTTAGCCATGAGATTAAGGGTTCATTATGAAGAGTCTATTTACTTAAGATTGGCTATGGCCATTGTAGGTATATTTGACTTACATGGTGCTTAAGAGAGAAAAAAAATGTCTCAAAAATGTTGTGTCAGCCAGTTAAATGCACTATATAGTACTAATTTTTAGTCATGAAGGAACAAATTTACCAAGTTAATCTAGTATAATGAACGACGGTAGTCCAATAACAGGTGGAAAAAGCCTGCATCTGTATGGGCATTAGAGTTTTTTATTGAAAACCATAGTTGCAAGGACAGGAAAGTGAAAGTCACGCTCCTATGTTTCTATTTGATTTGTATAGATAACTGCAGTCATGCAATGGATACACATTTCTTGATTTTTATTCCACCTTTGTTTCATAAGTGATAATGTGTACTCCCCAGGAAGATGCTAATCTAACCATTGTCATGACCAAATCAACTCATTTCTGTGTTATCTTTCAATAGATTTGATGGAAGTATGTTTCTTTTTTATGATATTTTGCAGGAGGTATGTTTCATGCTGCCACCACTATTAAGTTTACTTGTTGACTGTGCAAAGAAGACAGACCAAACTGTTGTTTCTATTTCTCTTGGTGCTTTAGTGCATCTTGTTGAGGTAGGGGGCCACCAATTCAGTGACAATGACTGGGATACTTTACTGAAAAATATAAGGTATAATTTGATAGCACTGAGATCACAGGTGTTTTCTTTTTGAATTTTTGCAATCTGATCAAACATAGTCTGATCAAGCAGAGATGCCTCTTACACAACTCAGCCCGTTGAGCTTCTCAATTCTTTAGGATTTGAGAACTTGAGGAGTCAAAAATTGCTAAATGATGGCTTATATGTCAGTCCACATGAGACTTCCTTCAAGGATGCTAATAATGGTGGTAACGATGGTGCAACAGCATTACATTTGACATCTTTAAGGTCTGAGGTTGAAACTATGGAGAGCAATCCTAGCACAACAAACTTGCAACATGATCAAGATGTGAAATTCCTAGCCATTTCAGAGGAGGAATCTAAAAGTATGTTATTGCATCTTGTAAATAATTTTTTTGATAATGGCTTTATTGCCATTTTCTATTGCCAGAGAGGTTGAAAAGGATGACTGACATTGAACACTTTCAAAATATTGTAAATCTAAAAAAATGTTTCTGTGGTTGTGTCATCAACAGTAGGGAATGCAACAAAACCTGTTGAAGCGGGGTTTCAACGGAGTCAAACTTTTGGTCAAAAGATTGTCGGAAACGTGATGGATAACCTTTTCCTGAGAAATCTCACATCAAAGTCGAGGATTGCAGTTGCAGATGAGCTTGTGCCATCTTCACCTGCTAAGGTAAACTTTATTTCCAGATCCATGAGTCAAATGGCAGTATATATTCATGCACACATTTTGTAGTACTCATGTTTTGTTAATTTGTAGATGAACAGTCTTTTTTATGGAGCTTTTTTTCGTTCTGTTTTTGAAAGCTCTAACTGCCCAGTGGAATAACAAGAGCATAGCACACGTGATATGTTATAGAAAGGGCTTTCAAGCTTTCATATAAGCTGGAAGAACTGCTGGACTTTGGGAATAGCACTCTCAGAATATTTAAGAGTGCGAGATATGATTGGTTGCTTGTCTTTTCCTAGTCACCATGAGCGCACCTTACATTATTTTTGGATGATTTTACAGCTCATTTTCCAATTTTGCAAGCTTCCACAAGTTTTAAAGATAGGTTCTCATGGAGAAAAAACAGAGTAACCCTAAATAAATTCACTGGTCTTTATATGTTGAGTTTTTGTTCTTTCGATGTGTTTTCTGTGCTGTTTTGGGTGGGCATGTTCATTTTGTGACCTTTAGTTATCTGGAGTTGATGGTATTAGGGAGACTGGATGTATTTTCCTTACAGGCCAAGTCAAGTTTTAGTAATGTAGGACATTGAAGTTCTTTCACCTATTTTTGTTCGTATAAATTTGGAGACCAATTTCGTAAGGTCTCGCTTGAAATGGATAAACCATAGGGCTACTAAATTTAGCAACTAACTGAAATTTTGAATTTCAATAAAAATTGTAATGCATTTTCCCAAGCTGAAGAAATTAATTTGCCTTCGGATCCAATTTTTTTTCATTATTTCTCCTAATTAAGAAAGGTTTACCCATTGCCGAAGCTTCCAATTTGGATTTAGAATGAAAAAAGGTTGTATTAGTGCAGCAAGCTTCCAATTTAAATTTTGGTATAGGTTAATGTACACTGACATAAATTATTATTTGATTTTTTTGAATTCTACATTGGAGTTTTAGGTGATGCATTTTGGCTTTAACTTGAATCATTGAGAGCATCCATTATCCCAGCTCTACCTATTCTCTGCTATTTTTGGTTAATCCAATGAGTTCTGTTTAAGAATGATGAACATTGAGCCATTATTCTTTCATTCTTTGGTGGAATAATATCCATATTATTTTCATTATATTTTTCTTAATATTTGTAGACGCATGATCCTGTTGAGCCTATCTACAATAAGGGTGATGATGAGAACCTACTTATGGAGGCAGTGAGGAGCAAATGTGTAACTCAACTGCTACTTTTAGGTGTTCTTAATAACATTCAGGTAAGTGTTTTCCATGCCAATTGTACTTCTTTTTAGGCCGTCATATTTGACACCATAGAAACCTGGCAGATGAGATATTGGGGCAAGTTAAAAGCTCCACAGAAGATTGCAATAATGGATATTTTGCTATCAGTTTTAGAGTTTGCTGCTTCGTATAATTCTCCCTCAAATCTCAGGATGCGAATGCAGCATATACCTCCAGAAAGGTATGTAAAAGTGACTCAATCTTACCCAACTTTTGAGGTTATAATGCCCTAATCTTATCTGCTTTGCAGGCCACCTTTGAATCTTCTCCGCCAGGAAATCGCAGGAACGTCTGTATATTTAGATATCTTGCAGAAATCAACTTCAAGAAGCAGCTATGATAATGATGAACTGGCATGTACTAATGTTTCTTTCCATGAGATTGGGACAAGGAGTGAAAGAAGCGATACTGAAATAAAAAACCCAGAAGTGAAGCTCAAATTGCTTGCAGAGGAGAAATTAGTATCATTCTGTGGACAGATTCTAAAAGAAGCTTCTGATCTCCAGCCAGGTACAATAGAGAGTTCTAATGCTGAGGTGCATCGGGTGCTTGACTTGCGAGCTCCTATTGTAGTCAAGGTAAACAATTCAGCTATAGTGAGAACTTTAATTTTAATTCTCTTCTTCTTGTGCAATTGCATCTTCTTATGGTTTCATGTTATACACTATTGTGTTAGTATCCTTGTAACAATTCATATTTTTTCTTATTGAATAGGTTATTTCACTTAATTCTTGGATTGATCTATCATCTCTTGATTTACATTTCAAGTAAAAAGTTTTCCAAAATTTCCCAGTCATTCTCTTTTTTTTCTTTTTTAAGGTTCACATAGGAATCTTATGTTCTTATCTCATGGGTTTTGTTTCCCCATTTACTTTGACGCATCAAAATGTTGTACTTCCTAGATCTAGAGTGTAAACAATCGGTCATATTCCTTTGCTAGAATTTTGAGTTATTTTATTTTATATTGTTTTTCTAATGTAGTTTGAGCCTTAAACTTTGTTGACCATCCAAGCTTTGAGCCATGGTCAAGCATATGCATAACATGAAATATATAGTTTTAAATAAAAGAAAATTTAGTTTAATAATTTTCATATATGTATTTTGGCTTAATTTTACCTAGGGTTTAGATATAATAGAAAATTTCGATTTTACTTGATAATGGGCCTAAAGCTCTACCTCTTCAAAGCTCTGGCACATATTATCGCTCTCGTCTTATTTGTGGCTCGTGTTCGGCTTAGTGTGTCTGCTCGGGTGCCTGCTCAGCCTTATTTTCTTGCTCTTTCTCTCTCTCTCACACACTTTGTTTGTTGGCATGCTTGAGCCATCCTCCTCATCTCTTGACTCACTCTGTATCTTTTTTGTGCTCCCTCTATTTTTTTTCGTTGTTTTTACACCTCATCTCTGTCTTTATCTCTCTTTAATAGAGAGCTTAAATTTAGTTTTTTAGTACTGCTCATGGCAAAGCATCAATACCTACTTTAATTTTTCTTATCATTGTTGTCAACAATTGGTACATTTTTCCCGTAAAAAAATTATCTCTTCATTTTAAAATGTAATTATAAAATTCATACCTCAATTGTAGAGTCGTGGATGAGATTCCCTCATTGTTTGTTCCTACTTTGTATCTTTGTTTTCCATCATTCTTTCACAAAATTTGTACGAAAGAAATCTCTTGATTTCTAAGATGCTTCCATTATGGCCTAATGACCTTTATGTAAGATCAGATTAAAGATCTATAAAATCTGAATCAAACTATTTTTGTTCTTCTTAGCTAGATGTTCTGTATTATAAAGATGTGAAAGACATTGTACACTCTATACTTATATTTTTGAATTCTCTTTGTAATTTCATAAAGACCAGCATATCATGGGCTTCATTTGCCAGTATTATCAAAATATTTGGCACCTTTCATAAAACTAATCTTGAGGAATACAAAGCCTAACACATCAAATTTCATTGGTCGATACTTATCATGATGATGCTTTTTATTTTATCTTTAAAGCCCTTTAATCCATTTTGAATCAACTGATACTTGTCAGCAAATTCATCTACTAAATTTACACCCATTAATTTTGGCTCTTATTTCTACTCAACATGAGGGTTCTAAATTTCCTTTTAAGGAGTGCTCATACCAATATTTGTTTAAAAACTATGATTGCAAGCAAATTGTATCAATGGAATTCCAAGGCTCCCCAAAATCAATGTTACATAATCCGAGTAAATGTTTTATGACTTGATTCTGATTGGCAATTGCTTTTGAGGTCGGAATGTAATGTTGATTGTTTGTTCGGTTCCCAAAGCTTCTTGGTCATTTTTTCATAATATGGATATATATTTTTCGTCTTGATGTGAAATTATTGATTTTGGTGTTTCATGTTATTACGTAAAATTATTTACTAACAATTTTGTCACATTTTAAAATGCATCAATTTGTTTGATTGGCAAAACTGTGCAATTATAACTAATTTGCTAATGTTAACCCTTATAGCATCATGATTTTATTTTGATCTTGGTAGCTTAATAATAAATTCCATAGCAATCTTATCCCAATTCTATTTTGGCTTTGCTTGTGGTAGTTAGTTTTAAGCATATGTCACGAACCAATTTTACTTTGCTTCATTTCGATCTTGCTCGCTAAAATCATTTTCTAAGCTCTTTGTATATTTTGTTATTTTTTGAATAAATGGAATCACCCAAGTAATATGCCTCACAGCATTTTTTTTCCTCATTTATTATATTCTATGGATTTTTTGTTTGAATTGATAGATTTTTATCTTTTTATATTAACTAAGTTAAGGAAATTAATAATTGGGCAATACATACTCACATTCATTATATTAAGTGTTTTTTATGATTTGGCTATTTGTTATTAATGATTCATTAAGAAATTTACTACTGTAATTGCACTAATTACACATTTTCTTAAGGAAAATTTTAATAAACATAATCAGTTGAATGTGGTTTTAATGATATTTATGAGATACTTGTAAGAGTCCTTGTGCTTAAATGCTCATTGTAATAAGATATTTGAGATTCCTTATGATGCATTACGCATAGTTGTTGATGATGGTTAGAACCACGACAGATATGATTGATATTTTAATGGGAAATTAATGAGATTAAGTAGAAAATTTTGATTATGATAGATTCTTTATGTTGTACAATAACTTTGATACTACTAAGTAAATGTCTTATGTTTATGTAATTAAGGTCTTAACTATTTAATTTCACAAGAAAAAGGGTTGAATTCTTCAATAATATGGATTTGATGAAAGTTAGGTGATTAATTTTCACAACAATATGTAAGATTATGCCACCTGTTAGAATTTCAATGAGTTAAATAGTGACTGATTCGTGTTTAAAAAATATTTTATTATTTTATTTAATTTATCTTTAAAATTTTCTTATTTTAGAATTTCATATTGGCGATATTGTGAACATTTCAATTGACTTTGGTTGAGGTATAATTATAGTTATGATGGAGCATATCTTTTGCCAAGTGAATCTAGGAAGGAATGTCACGATAATCATTTCACCATGTAAAGTTTGTCAAAAAAATTTAAAAAGAAAAAGAAAAAAAAAAACAATGGGCTTTGCACACTTTTAATTTTTTTCTTGTAGCATTTCGTTGAATGATGATGCTAGTTTGAGAGTTATTATTTCCTGAAAAACATGACTCTAAAGGTGGCCAGAAGCTGGGTTGACAAGGAGGAGGAGGGCCGACCCATGGCGTGCGGGTAGGCAGGTTAAGGGCTGTAGACAGCAGGCAAGAGGGCTGGACTCATACCTGGCTGAGAGCAGGTAGCAAGGAAGTGGCCGGAAAGGGGTTAGAAGGGGTGGCCGACTGGAGAGGGGATGGTAGCTGTGCAGGTAGGGTTGCGGTGAGCAGGGAACAAGAGATATACTACTTTACGATTAGTTACAGCCGGGGCACCTTCTCGCCTTTAGATACAACCCTAGGAGGGAGAATTGGAGACGCCAACTGCTGTCTTGATAGAAAACAGAACAAAAGCTGAAAATCTAAGGTAAAGGAAATATATATAAACGCTAGATAACTAGGATTGGATCCCCCTATGAAAAGGAGGTGCCAAACTATGGTAGAAGGGTTGATCGGCCCTCCCAGATCTGGATTGGTTCGGTCGAAACGAAGAAAGCCAGGATATTTTGCACGGCTTCCCTATTACGCCCATGTCACTGTAGCTGATTGGAAATCATGAGATTGCCATTTTTGTTATAGGATTATGCTATTCACTCTCGTGATTTATTGAAACTGAGTAAAGGTTTTGAGAAAGTATATGCTTGGGATGTTTTTTTTAATACAAGAAAATTGTCAATTTTGAGAATTTTGTGATTATAAATTGGAATATTGAGGCATGTAAAAATCATTGAATTGAAAAGTAAAATCTTAGATTTCTTGCAAATTTGTTGTGTTTGGTTGGAAGCAAATTCTTTGGTGTTCGGTACAACTGTTGACAACTTTTTGAGAGAGCTTTCTTATTGTACCAAAATGAGGCACAAATAATTTTCGTGCTTCTGTTTCCTTAAATCACGAGACTCGCTTTCATTTCTTCTCTTATCTGGTTTTGGAGTTTTAATACTTCTATTTGCCTGTTTATTGCACAATAGTTCATGTCACTTGAGTTAATAGTTAGAGTTAACCTTTTTTTTGTGTCAACAAGTTGTGCCCATTTTTCTAAATTCGATGCAAGCTAAGTTTTGCCAATATCATGAACCTGATAAATATTACTAGAAAATTTATGAAAAACCATGATAGACATTAAATGGCAACCTAAATTTCTATTTTAATCCAAACAAGGACTAATACTTAGAACTTGTAGTTGGTTTCTTGTACTGCATCAATCTGAATATATAAATATAGTTCCTGCTAGTATTAACTTTATTTTCCCCCTAGACAACACTGGTTGCTTTACTTTAAAACAGTTTATTTGCCGAGTACAGAAGAAATAACAGTCTATAATGCGATCCCTTAAGTTTTCAATGCTTTAGATAGCTGATCTGATTGTGCTATCAATTGTACTATCTACAACACTAATCAGCACCCTTTTGGTCCTTAAGCACTACATGCTACTAGATTTCATAAAATACATGCCAACTTATACCAACTACTGTTGTATTCATTCTGCCTCTATTAAAAGGCCACGGTTGTGTGCGATGACTAAGAGTTTTTGTTCCCCCAGGTACTCAAAGGCATGTGTCTCATGGACAACCAAATATTTAAAAGGCATCTAAGAGAGTTCTATCCTCTGATAACAAAGCTCGTGTGTTGTGATCAGGTAAGTAAGCCCGCAAAATATGCATCTATATGATTCCATAATTGCGCAGTCATCTTGATGCTCGAACAGATATTCTTGCCTAGATTGGATCTCTAATGGTAGTTGCCTATAGTTTATTTAGGAGGAAAATATTTATTTATTTCTTGTGTTCTATTTGTTCATTTGAGCCTGGGATGGTTATTATAGTGGACATAATTCTAGGAACTATGCATACTATATTTACATAACACAGCATCAATTTTATGACAAACCGGACATGCAAATTGTTGATTGCGTGGTATGCCACAAGTACTCGGAGCAAATTTTAAGTTCTCACATATTGGTCTACTCTTGTGCCCAGAAATGACATGGCATTTGCTTAGTTGCATATAATGAATTTAACCTTGTTGCTATACCAAAAATATGTTTCTTTTATAATGGCTCAAGCTAATGTTATTTTCCTCTACGGCTTTTTGTATCTTGAATTCTATTTACTTTTGCAAATTGAAATCCAAAACGAAAAACATTTTTGACTTCAAGTTCTTTATGAAAGATGAGTGTTATCTAAAGTAAAAAAAAAACCCTTCTTGTTGGTCATTTTCCTGCTATGAAATTCGTTATCAACTTATCATAATCACCTAATCTGTGAATATACTTAATCTTACCTTATTGGAAAAGATGATATTTCTAGTTTCAATTAATGCATAGCAAATGTTCTACAGATGGATGTCCGTGGAGCTCTTGGCGATCTAGTCAGCGTACAGCTCGCGCCTCTTTTACCTTAGATTTCATTTGTTACGACCATTTTACGAGTTTTTCTCTGCTCTTACTGGCTCCAATCGAGTACGAACATGCGGATGATCAAGCCTGGATAGTTGCATGCACCATTTATGTTTGCCGTGTTGATTCTGGGTAAGACTTATGCTGCTCAAATTGGCTTCGAACCCCCCTCATTTTGACCAGCCGTATCTTCCTCTTTCAGAATATAAGTCATAGAAGAAATCGATTTTATTAGGCTTCCTTTTCAATGTATTTTTCATTGCCATTCTTTATTATTAATGATAATTTACCTAGTTGACTTCGTGGAGGCAGCAGAAAATGGACGATGGAAACGGCATTTTTGGGAGGAATTAATAAATATTTTCAATTTTAGATATGTGTAGAGGTCCACAATCTTGTATGAAGGCCTATAATGTAATTTTTGGAGATCTAAAAATTGTTATAGAAAGCTATTATGATTAATTTTTATGGTTTTAAAATCTCTTGAATTTTGTTGAGCACATAACCTTTTGTGATAAATGCCCACAAACTTCTAAGAAGATTTGCTTGGCCTATTTTTTATTTTCATCATTTTATTACAAGATTTGAAAATCATATTTATTGGGACTTTTAATTAATTAATTAATTTTTAGTATGATCTTAAATGATATTTAAAAAGTATGTTAAGTTCATAAGAGCAAAATTTATCATTTTATTACAAGATTTTAAAGTCATATTTATTGGGACTTTTAATTAATTAATTTTTAGTATGATCTTAAATGATATTTAAAAAGTATGTTAAGTTCATAAGAGCAAAATTTAATGACTTTTTTATAAAGATGTTGTCTTATGTTATTTTGTTAATGACAAAATCTAATGATATTTCGTTAATGACTTATGTTGAAATTACATATGTTAACTTAATAAGAGCAAAATTTAATGACTTTGTTATAAAGATGTTGTCTTATGTTATTTCGTTAATGACAAAATTTAATGATATTTCGTTAATGACTTATGTTGAAATTACTTCATTTCTTTCTTAATTCTCTAATTATTTTCTTAGACGATTTAATATTTAGTTTTTAAAGTTTGTTTTTCTTATCAAGTTTCTACTAAACTTCCAAGATGTTGGCTATCTTTTAAGTTATGGTAGTAATCCTTATAAAACAAAAAATACTTTATATGGTCTAAAGTGAGTTTTTTTATTATTATAATAGCGGCGATGATAAACATATTATATAAGGCATTAAGTTAGTATAGTTAGGGAAACTATGGGTTTCAAATGTTTGAAATTTAGAATCTCAAAATGGAAGTGATTAATAAATCTTTGTTAAGATTCTCTAAGTTCTTATTTAAACAATAAGAGAGTAAGAGATCTCTTCAATTATTTGAAGCACTAAATAATTTTGCAATAAAAAATTATTTAAATTTAATAAAATTCATCATACTTATGTGTGAAAGTTATAAGAACCATCTATATAGCACCACATTAAATAATTTGAAGAGTAGTTGAAACCTCAGAACATCATTAATGTCCAATATAGAAGTCACTGACTCAAAATATACTACTCAAACTTTCATTATATAGATCTCAATGTGGAATAGGTTTTGATGGGAGTTGTATTCCTGTATTTCCTCTTGAGAACATAGTTGTTACCTACAATTGTCATTTCCTTACTCTTTAAGGTATGATTGTTTCATTTAAAGTTAGTGTTAATGCTTGTAGATTGAATGATTCTCATCAAATGACTGAATTAAAAAATTTAATAACTAAAATTTAAAAATGCAGGTCAAGCCTTGAGACAAATTTTAAAATTATTAAAATTGTTTCTAGGCGACTTTCTTCTATTTGATTGAGTTTCCTAGAAGTAATGAATTATTGTTGATCTTGTACAATCTCCTCAATTGTTTTTTATTGCTACATTATTTGATTTATTATTCAACGAATATTAAACTCTAATCACATCCTAAGGAATGTTGGATCCAAATTTATTCGTAGATGACATATAAGACCCCGCTAAACAGAGTGACCAATTAATAAAAAAGAGACTTGTAAGAGAAAAAATCTAGAATAAGAAACTCTAGAATTTTATTATTTAAGAAACTTATGTGACTTGATAAGTAGATGAATTTTAAAAAGCCAAGCATTCCCCAAACTCTTATCTTATAGGTTTAGGAAAATATTTGATCTACAAGAGAAGTTATATATAATATGACTTTTTATTTATTGTTTTAATTCATGAAGTGTGCAGCCTAAATTTATGAGAAGTCAATATTGACAATCAAATTTTAACAACTTGTAAGCTTTGATGAGTTTTTTTGGGTTGCATGCACGATCACGTTTAGATAATCTTTTATTCGACTCTAATTTAAATAGACTTAAAGTGAATCTTCAATATATTTGGGTGTGCACATTTATAGCGCACATCTCTTTTGATTTTAGTTATTCTTAAACTACGTTGAAATTTATAATTGTTCATCGAGCAGCATTATTATGTTATTGTAATACTACATAAATGTTTGATGGACATTTACATGCATTCCACCCAATTACTATGTACATATCTAACACCTAAACTTTATTTTTTACATTCCTACCTTCCGAATCTTTTTCATATCACATAAGAAATACAACTATTTTAACTTTTAAAAAGTGAACTGCACCTCCTGCATAGGCAAGGTGACATATGAGAAAAAATTGAAGTTTAACTGTTTGATAAGCAAATATATAGGGATTGAGTGGTATGTATGTAAATCTTTCAATGTTTAATTGTAAAAATTTTAAAAGTCATTATCAAAACATTAAAATGAACCCTTATTTATATAAAAACTATGATTTTGCACTTAAATACCTCCCTAATATTGTAATATCCCCAATAGTTAAAAAAAAGGAGGCATTTACCTACATACCACTTAATTCTTATTTTTTTACATATCAACACTTAAATATTTTTTCTTTAATTATGCTATCCAATTGATTCATATAATATTAAAAACATCACTATTTTAATAACAATAAAAAAAAAGTGATTGCACCTTTTTCACAGAAAATGTGGACTTTATTTCACACTTACCTGAGACATAGTGTTTGAGGGTGTAGTTTCCCACCGTAAAGTTGAGAGTTCGAAAACATATATTGACATTTGGGCACACCATTCTTAAATTCACACACACACACACACACACACACACACAAAAATATATACATACATATCTATCTAACTATCTATGTGGTACATCAAAAATATGATTGCACAAATCTCAAAGAAATCCAAAAGGCCATGCTTATGAACACCAAAGTGCATTATATCGGGACATCTAGAAGAAGGAATTTCAAAGGCTAAGTGTTGTTTCCTTTGGTCTGAACTTTAAGCTGACTGAATAAAAGCATAGTCAAACGAATGAATAGAAGACACCCAATTTAGGGGACAATTGTTCAAGACCAGCTTTCTCAGCTAATTCTTGAATTATCTACAAAGATGGCTAAAGGGTACCCCACAAAAACAACTTTTAAATTGTTTTAAAAGGCCCCTTGCATAAGAAGAGTTGTCTGTAAGATTACAGTGAAACACTCTCTGCCTGACAATCCAAATTCACCATAACGATAAGAAAGCCTCTACTCAAGATTCCATTGAGAAAGCCGATGAACTTTCGGCTGATTGAATGTATTTCAACCGGCCAAAGCTTTATAGCTGACTGAACGATAAGACCAGTTATGAATATGAAACGTGTCAATGTCGTTTATGAATATAAAAGGGTGTCAGATTTGATTAAAAATGTAAAAAAGTACCATAATAACTTGTAACATCCAATTTAAACTATCATCCTTCCCATACTCTATACCTTGGGAGTGATCCATAGGACATATTTAGATTCAACATCATAAAATGTACGGTGAGTATGAAAGCATGCCACCAACAAGAAGAGGAGCACACCACAGAGAACAACCCAAACATTACTCATAGAAGAGGGCCTCTCATGATGATGGGTGGAGGCCAAACGATAGCCAACAACCTAGACAAGAAGACAATGAGCCACCTCAGGATGATAGAGGGTGATGAAATTTTTATTTGTTGTTGGTAGTCTCCATAAACCTTGAAATATTTTTATCTAAATGATCGGATACAACACTTGAAGAGTAACATACTATCTAAAAGGATAGAAATATTACCAAAGAATGGATCTAATCATTCGAATGAGGAAAATCTTTGTGATTTATGGATCAGTGAAACTAGGATATTTCTTTTAACTTATGGGTGTAAGACAAGGTTTATTTTATTATGGGATCTGATATCCCTATGAAGGGGCTCTCTCATTGTTAATTATATCTCAAGAATTGCTCTTAAAGAAACTCTCAATTAAAGTTATGCCTTATATCTCTCTGTTCATTAATGAATATTTATGGGATGATGAAATTTGAGAATGGTGAGTTTTTCTTTTATTTTTTTTTGTTAGTCACCATAGATTTCAAAAGATTTCTATCTATATGAATGGATACGACATTAAAAAAAAATTATCTTGAAAGAAAGAAGTATTACTTTAGAATGGAATCAATAATTCAAAAGAGGGAAATATTTAGGATTTATGGATCTACATAATCAAGATTCTTCACTTAACTTATAGGTGTAAGATATGATTTATTTTAATTATGGGCTCTTGTTCCCTACAAGAAAATTCCTTGTAGTTAATTACATCTTTTGAGCTTTGATCACTAAAGAAAACTCTTGATTAATGTAAAGAGCCAAATTGAAAGTGATCGTACATTCATAATTGGAATGGAGGGTCCAAATTAGAAGAATTAAGTTTATGGAGATGGGAATTACAATTCGATGATGGTGTGTCATGGGAAATGCCTAAAACATGGAATACAATTTTAAGACATATTTGAAATGTTCTGATGAGTTGAACTAATCAAGTGAAATCATAAGATAGATTAGAGATGCTGGATTTGACTAACATAAATGATTAGAACCCTAAGATGAGGATAGAGTCAGGTAGGAAATGATTTCTAGATGAGAAATGGAACCATAAATTCAATAAGGAATTCTATAGGCAGACTAACCTAGACTTTAGAAACAATGTCCACGATCAAGATGCCCATGACTTTCCATCATCCTGGGAATGTTGGTATCCATTTACTATGACAAACCTCAAAACCAAAAATCTCCCTTGAATTTCAGAACATAAAGGATTCATAATTTTGAAGTAGACTGAAATATCTTCTTCAATAATCATAGTTTACTTCATTCTAAGGTATTTCCTCTAGTCTCAGGGGTAGGCTTATTGTTTGGTATGTCCTAGTCCTTAGCACTAACTAGGGTACCTAAACTAACCTAAGCTTTTAAACTCAAACAAATTTGGGTAATTGTATGACCCTCAGTTTGGTGTCTAAGTTAGTTAACCTAAGGTTTATATTTGACCTTCTTGGGTTATATTCTTCTTCTTTATTGGCTTTTGAACGTGAAATAACTTACAAAAAAAAC